ATGTTGGGACGGGGGTTGCAGCAAGAGCACACTATTGCAACAAGAGCTTGCTGCTGGCTTATATTCAGCTTATATGGGGCCCTTGCAATGGGGCACACAGGCTGTTGGTCCATTGTAACCTCCGCCGGGTCCTTCTCTGCATTGCTGAAGCCCAGCCAGTCCTTCCCTAGTCTGTGTTTGTGCTTGTAAAAATGATCTGTGAGATCATTTATTTTAAAGGATGGAGCAGGGAGTGCTCTGTTAGCCATGGCAGGACCTATAGAAAATAACGCACCGATCCAGTCTGAACTTCTAATTGCAATTCCAGCTTCCCCCGAGTGCTAATGACTCAACCATTGCAAACAAAATGAACGAGACTCCATTGCCCCTTGTCAAGCCGTGGTTTAAAGATATCGGGGAGATTAAAAATAAACACTACAATGTACGCAATTACTGTTTAATCACCAAGGTCATAAATACTTGTTTTTATGAAAAATCAGACTTCCTGGACGTCTGCACTTTGTCACTCGTTAGCTTTCCACCAGACATGGTGCAAAATCTACTGTGTGGTTATTTGCAAGGAAGGCAAAAATGAGCCATAAAAGGCACTTCTGTTCAGTTCCTCTCCTGTTAATGTAACAAGGGTCCCTGGTATAACCTGGGAAACTGCGTCATCACGTCCATCGGTCCACTTGATTGGTCCATTCAGGATCCAGACTCCTTCCTCATTGCTGTCCTTAGCATGAGGACGCAGCCCCAAGATCATTGACTGAGTGCAGCCACGGGCTTCAATAGAGTTACTCCAGATTTATAAACTGAAATCCGAGTCCAGCTCATTGTGTCTGTCCTCAGGAGGAGAGTTTTGTCTATTGGACCGAGGGGAAGAGAGAGACAGAGTGTGTGCATGTTTGTGTGTATCGAGTGATTTCCTTTTCTGTGATTAAGCATCACATTCTTGCTGGACATCAAAGCCAAATGCTCTTCCTTTTTGGCTCGCAGCGACGGGGCATGCGTAAGATCAGGAACACGGTGTGTAATGGCTCTGGGCTCCTTTGTAAATAAGATGACGAGCATGAGTTTAGTCGTGTACCTCCAGTATTTACTCCCAACATCCTGCTTTTGAAGCAGAGAGGATATGGAAAAGCAGCGTGGAGGCGGCCATAAATGGCTCCATGTTTCTCCAAATAGAAGAGCAGGAACCTTTTCAAAAAAGGCTTGCGCTGTGTTGCATTTTAGCTGCGCATGACAGTACGTTGCCCTTTTCTAGTGCCCTTCCGATTGAGGCACTTAAAGCACTTTTCTTGGAGTCTCTTGTTATTTCTGGGATATAACTAGGTAGGGTTGCATTGCAGTAGGCACTGGACAGGAGAAGAGGACAGGTCCCATCCTGAAGAGCTAGCAGTCCAGTGCAACAGAGTGCAAGATGCGGCAGAGTGGGAATATGGGAACAGGAGCCAGACTAAGTATGGGTGTAGGCCAGCTGTGTGAGGGGGGCATTACCTTTGTGTTGCAGAGAGGCCTGGACTCAGTGGCCAGGGACAAAACTTCCATCGACTTCAGTGAGGTCAGGATGCCATCGACCAGGGGCTGAGATTTGCCCCAAGGCTGAGTGCTGAGTCATCGGTTGCGCCACAGCTGGCATCCAGCGGGCAGGTTTTCGGTCGCACCAGCCAGCATCCCCGAGCTGCTAAGAATCTGACAGGACAAAAATAAGCCTGCCTTTTATGGTGGATTGATTGCACGAGACATCGTGAGCTTTCCGGGGTGGTAGGAATGCTGGTCTCAGCATGGATCATGGAGATCCAGGAGTTTCGTGGTGGGGGCAAGAGGCAGAACCACTCTTGTGCATTCATTCACCCCACGATACATCCCTGCGATGGAAGCGGAGGGAAACAAGAACATCCACGCTGGAGGCCGGCTTCTGATCTGCACACACAGGCATCACAGGTAGTTAAAGAAACTCCCCCAACCCAGGGCTGTGAATCCCTCTCGCCCGCGCAGCAACATGCCCTTGTTGCCGAAGAAAGCGCGCATCCACAATCAGGGGGAGGAGGTCAGACCCGGGTGTGAGTGCCCTTGCTTGTCTTCCTTTCTGTCGCCACCACCGCGGCAGGCTTCTGATCCAGTTTGGGCCTGACAAGGGAAGCCGCTGAGCTCCTCATGTTGAGATCCCTGGCAAAGGAGGGTGCTCACAGCTCCCAGGATCAGTCCTTTTATGCATTGCATCACTCCAAAGTGGTGTA